AATGTAGTAATTTGATGTTCCATTATAAAGTTCCTAAACTGCTCCTTAGGCAGCAGATGAGAATAATTTTAAGGTATATATGTAGTGTGGCCTTTAAAGTTAAACAAGCAGCCATCTAGCAGAGAAGCAACAAGCCCACATGGAAGAAGCACAGAAGCCTGTGTGGTCATGAGGTGCTAACAGGATTGGATAAAAGGCATCAAAAGACCGCAAACAAACAAAGAAAAATAACATATTGTGGAGAAAAAGGGGGAAAGGGGTCAGAACAGACCTAAAACCCAACTGTAGACAATGGGCCGTCCCCTCACAGAAGCATCACAAGGAAGGAATGGGTCCATCAGCAAAGCACCAATGAAACATAATGCTCCTCTGGTTCCTTGAGACTTCCTCAATCCCCACTATCATGACTCCAGTCTTGTCTTTCACTTTGGGCTGGATCAGAGCATATACACAGGTGCAGATAAGAGCTCACGACACAAGGAATCCAGGAACAGGAATCGGAGTGCGGATACCATCAGGGTAGGGGGAAGGTGGGGAAAGGAGGGAAGGAAGGGGAAACTGATCACAATGAAGAACACATACCCACACACCCACCTCCAGTGGGATGAACAACAGAAACCACAGGGGAATTGAGACAGCAGTCTGTGTAAGCTATGAGAAGAATAATTTATCAAGGGGTCCTGAGAGTGGGAGGGGTGGGAGGGAGGGGAAAAGAAGGAGCTGATACCAAGGGCTCAAATAGAAAGTAAATGTTTAGAAAATAATGATGGCAACATATGTACAAATATCCTTGATACAATTGATGTGTGGATTGTTATAAGAGCTGTAAGAGCCCCCAAATTAAAACAAATAAACATCATAGTAATAACACAAAGTGGTAAAAAAATTTTAAATAATCAGAAGAAATAGGAAAAATTACATCATGTAATATTAGATTCACCTAATAAATAAAAAAGTAGAAGAAAAATAGAAGTACATAATTAGTTACCAAATATAATCAAACACAAGGCTTTGAGACTTAGTATATTGGTTTGTTTTTGGGGTGTGTTTTATTTTTACATTGAAACACGTATTTTACCTTACAATTAAACAAGCAAAGTGAGTTTGGCTTCTCTTATTTAACTTCTGTTCATTGAGAAAATAACTTTCACAAATTTGCTGAAATATGTATAGCATGTATATTTAATTTTTTTTAATTGTTACATAGTGCAGTTTGTGGAATTTGTTATCTTGACTTATTTCCAACCAAAATCCAGGTATTGTCCAGCTCCAATAATGTTTAGACTGGCACTATAAATAGATAAATATTTTGAGGTTTTATGAAAAAAAATCAATATCATTGAATGATTAAATTGTATGATAAGTGAATTATAGGCGAATAAAACTTATATTTATTAAAAATCAATGTCACAATGTATGGGCAGCTATTGATGCCTGGGTTTGTCAGTACATTGACTGGAAAAAAAGTACTGAAGTTTGGAAAGGAAGGAAGGCTCATGCATACCCAGGAAAATCAAAGCATCCGCAAGAATCCAGGTGATTTTAGGAGAGAATCTGAGACTAGGAGGAATGAGTCTGAAGAGGGCCTTCTAGACAAGGGTTGGGCTTAGGGACTAGTATCAGACTTACAGACATGAGTTGGACTGGGGTGGGATGTTTTATTGAAGCACAATTAGTTCCTTTTTTTTAATCATTTTATTGGGGACTCGTACAACTCATCATATTCCATACATACATCAATTGTGTAAAGCACATTTGTACATTCGTTGCCCTCATCATTCTCAAAACATTTGCTCTCCACGTGAGCCCCTGTAATCAGCTCCTCATTTCCCCCCTCCCTCCCCATTGCCCCCTCCCTCATGAACCCTTGATAATTTATAAATTATAATTTTGTCATATTTTACACTGTCTGACATCTCCCATCACCCACTTTTCTGTTGTCCATCCCCCAGGGAGGAGGTTATATGTACATCCTTGTAATCCGTTCCCCCTCTCTACCCCACCCTCCCTCCACCCTCCTGGTATTGCCACTCTCACCACTGGTCCTGGATTCCCTGTGTTTCCAGTTCCTATCTGTACCAGTGTACATCCTCTAGTCTAGCCGGATTTGTAAGGTAGAATTGGGATCATGATAGTGGGTGGGGAGGAAGCATTTAGGAACTGGAGGAAAGTTGAATGTTGCATCATTGCTACACTGCACCCTGCCTGGCTCATCTCCTCCCCGTGATCCTTCCGTAAGAGATGTCCAGTTGCCTACAGATGGGCTTTGGGTCCCCACTCCACACTCCCCCGCATTCACAAAGATATGATTTTTTGTTCTTTCATGCCTGATACCTGATCCCTTAGACACCAGGTGATCACACAGGCTGGTGTGCTTCTTCCACGTGAGCTTTGATTGCTTCTGAGCTAGATGACCACTTGTTTACCTTCAAGTCTTTAAAATCCCAGACACTATATATTTTGATAGCGGGGCACTGTCAGCTTTCTTCACAACATTTGCTTATGCACCCATTTGTCTTCAGTGATTGTATCTGGGAAGTGAGCACACAATGATATTATTTTTTGTTCTTTGATGACTATTATCTGATCCCATCAACACCTAGTGATCACAAAGGCTGGTGTGCTTCTTTCATGTGGGCTTTGTTGCTTCTGAGCTAGCTGGCCACTTGTTTGCCTTCAAGTCTCCAAGACCCCAGATGCTGTATCTTTTGATAGCCAGGCTCCATCAACTTTCTTCATCACATTAGCTTATGCACCCACTTTGTCTTCAGTGATCATGTAAGGAAAATGAGCTTCATGGAATGTCAGTTTAATAGAACAAAGTATTCTTGCATTGCATTGAGGGAGTAATTGAGTGGAGGCCCAATGTCCATCTGCTACCTTAATACTAAATCTATAAATATATGCACATAAATCTATTTCCCCATCCTCATATATAGATATATTTATGTATTACATGCCTTTATTTAGACCTCTATAAATTCCCTTTGTCTCCTAGCTCTTCCCTCTATTTCCTTTTACTTTCCCTCCCCTTGTCCCATAAATGATCCAAATCGGTAGTGAGGAGGGTGTAGGAGGCCTGGTAGGACGTGATCAAGGGTAATGTAACCGAGAGGAATTACTGTAGCACAATTACTTCGTGATGTAAAGCTCTCTCTTACACATAAATATGTGTGTGTATATACATATATATCAATAATTACATTATAAGTACATGGACTAAATGACCTCATTGAATGCAGATGACTTAAAAAGGCCCAAATTCATGTTATTTATAAGAAACACACTTTAAATATATAGAAATAAACAAATTGAAAGAAAAAGAATAGAAACCATATCAAAAGAATACTGCTTTCTATGTGAATATCAGGAAAAAAGACTTCAGCAATAGATTGAAAAAGTCAGTACAAATGTAGGTGACACTGTATTTCCCTCTCCAGGGACTGGTCCATCTAGATTAGTGTTTATTAAATGATCTACATCTACACTGTCTTTTCCCTTACTTGTTCAAATATTTCTGCTAAGAAAAGAACACTAAAACCTCAAATGCCTAGCACAAAGGAAAATAGAAAATTAAGAACAGAAATCAATAAAATTGAAATTTCAACCCCCCTTTTATGTGTGCAAATTGATTTGCAATTTAAGAATCTAGTATAAAATTAATAAATGAGCAAAACTCCAGAATCAGGTAATTCCACATTTCCACTTACATATTATTGTAAAACTGGTCAAACTAACCTGTGACTGCAGAGGTCAGATCAGTAGTCTGCCTCTGTAGAGGCAGGGGCCTAAGGGACAGTGACTGGGCAAAGGCACTAGGAACCTTCTGGAATGATAGAGCTGTTTCCTGTCTTCATAAACCTGTCTCAAAATTGAATGAAAGGCACACTTAAAACCTAAGTGTTACTTGTATATTATAATTCAAAATTTAGCAAAAGAATGGCACTGAGAAGCAATATGTTTGGATGTAATATTCTCCCATGTTTTCAAAAATAGTATAATATAGGTTAGGACTATTTTAGGAGACACAGATGTGCATTATAGAGAACTGGGACGAGAACAGGGTCCAGAAAGCTCGGCAGTGCTGATGAGTCTGTCTGAAGACCTAGTGAGTGGAGAAGACTGAGGAAGGTACCAGAAGGAACCACGGGGCATGGAGATTTAAGAGAGAGGTAATTTAATTACCGTTCATAAAAGGAAAACTGAACTTCCCAGGAAGTTTTGTTCCATTTCGCAGTGGGATACACTGTTCAGTAACTCCAGTTCCTTCTGCCACCAAAATTTTTTAATCATATGCTGAAACCTACAGTTATTTAGAATCAAAACAGCTAAAACTCTTTTACTTCCTATATACATGACTTAAGATGAAAACATAACATTAATATTAATACTTTAGGATCAAGGAAACCATCTCTGTGTGATCCTTGTAAAATCAGTATATTTGTAGAAATAATTAAATATTGAGCATTCCTTCTTTTATACTGTTAAAAAAGAAGAAGAAAAGAATCAGTCCAATGTAGACTTATCTAACAAGTGTTTTTATCTCTGTGCTTGTGACCATTGTAAGAAAAAAACGCTATGTTTATTGTAAGCCAGGATGGAGACAGACAGAGAGAAGGGAGAAAGCCGTAGTAGAGGAGTGCTCCACCCCCACCATCAAACCCGCTGCTCTCTAGTCCATTCTGAGTGGCGAGACTCCAAAGGACAGCACAGAACTGTGTCCCACAGAGTTTACTAAGTCGGAAGCAGACGTCCACATATCTTAGGTGGAGAGCCAGGGGGGTTGAAACACTGCCCTTTTGATTGGCAATCAAGCCCTTAACACTGTGCGGTCAAGACTCCTTAAAACAGTGCTATAATGTCGTTCTGTAAAGTCTGCATTTGCTAATTAAGATATACCCTCATATTCTATTGTAATATAGCCTGCTTTGTATATAGGAAAACCCTCTTGTGACTAGATTTCAATGCCAATTTGTAAGTTGTCAATTATGGTTGGAAACATGGGGCTATCCGTACTAGTCAACACGTGGTTTCTGAACCAGCAGAAACAGCAGCAGCAGCAGCAGCATTTGGGGCCTGTAAGAAGTGCAGGACCTCAGCCACATGGCACACCTACGAACTCAGAATCTGATTTTAGCAAAACTCCAGATGCTTTCTCCACATTCTCCAGGGGAGAAGTCTTGAGCTAGAAAATGCAGGAGAAGAGTGCTTGAGAGAGAGGAAGAGGTTTTTTTAGAAGTGTTTTAAAGATGCCGAAAATTAGTTAATTAATTAAGATTCCTACATAGAGCTTGTCTTTTATTGAATTCTATTTATGTGTTTATTTTTAGAGGAAGCATCATCTTAGCCCTATATTAAACTTAGTAATTTGGTTTGGCCAAGGCTATCTCAGAGCACTTATATTAAAGAAATAAACAAAAAACTGAGCTGTGCTTCTCCACTTTAAAGCCCAAACGGGATGGGGCAAATGGATCAGCACTAGGCTACTAAGCAACGGTGCCTAGAACATAAGCCATCTAACCCTCCTGATCACAGGTGTACTTTGCAGCATGTGGAAACTACGTGAGTCAGAATCAACTTGCTAGCAATGGCTTTGTGCGTGTGTGTGTGTGTGTGTGTGTGTGTGTGTGTGTGCACATCATTTGGTTTAAAGAGTGAAATAAGCACTGTTAATTGATTTTGTTGCTGATTTTACAAAGACACAGAGCTCTTTTCCATTGTGCATGGATTCCTGTAAAGGCACTTTATTCCCAGGCTCTTTAGTGATGGGAATATCGCTGCTGCTGCTGCTGCTGCTGCTGCTTCTGAATTCATTTCTCCTGATAGGAGAATTGCCAAACAACTAGATTTCTACCAATAGCTGTCCTTTTAAAGAAATGTAATACGACTTCCAGTAGGAATATTATTATTCGTTCTGCTGAGTTAGCGCAAGCCGTCCCTTCCATCACTTCCAGTAGATTCCTCACCAGGATCTCTACTGCTGAAGAAAATGGAGCTGTCCCTAAGTGGCCATCACTGTCCATTAAGGACCTGCCCACTGCCTTAGTCTGTTTCCTGCGTGATGGGAAGTCGTCTTCTGGAAGCTGCTCGTCTTGCTAACACTAAAAGGCTCTCTCCCATTAGCAGCTTCTGGGTTGCATTAATAATAAGAAAGTAATCATGAGGCCGGCCTCAGCTGTTCACGCTCCCCTGAGGTGAAGGCCCAGTTTCCCTCTTACTCCCTTGGCCCCCCGTAATAGCCTTGCTTGCATTAAAGACACAGAGTGGATTACAAAACAAATGGGGTCTATTTCATCAGAGTCTGAAATTCGTTCTTTCGGGAGACTAGTACCTTTTTTTCTTGGACTTCCAGAGTTTAAGACTATAGCTTCAATATGATGGCATTGAGGTGAAGATATGTAAATCATGAAGTGTTGTTTTATGAAAGTGCAAATTATAGCTGCTGGAAAACAGGATTTAAAACACCACCAACAACAAAACTATGTACCTTTCCTGGAAGAACTATAAAACAGAACACTGTGGACAAGATGTCTTTTCAAAAAAATTAAACACTCATTGTCTCAGCAATAAATTCCAGGAATACATATCTTTGTTCTTATAAACAAAGAAAGCTCCTGTGAATAGATAAATCAATGAGAAGAATATATCATATAAAAAACAAAATAATTGAGTTGGACTTGATCAGTTCAGGATGCATATCAATAAATTGTACCTTTGTTAAAATTGTTATCTTAATAGGGAGCGTAAAAATGGAGCCTATGTTGAGCTTCATTACTTATGCCCTCCCCTACTGGAAATATTTAACCTTTTGCAAGAGCACACTTTTCAAAGGTCCTCTTTATTGAAACATCTGCTTCTAAGTGTACAGTTGTCACATGACACAAGGTTATCTATGCAATTGATAGGCTATTGCCATTTTTCATTTGGAAGTAAAATAATTTTTGCCTTCAACTGCATATTTGTAATTAGCATCTTTTAAAATGATGGTCCATCACCTCCAAAGTGTTGCTTGGATTTTCATTCCTTGTACTTAAAGTATTGGAATTTTTTCCTCGATTTATAATACTAAATTCTGATTTTGAAAGATTAGTTCCATCATTAGGTTATACAGTACCTACTTTTGTACCTGTAACTTAGAAAAAAGACATATTAATATCAATAATCATTTCCAGGGACTGGATACATTTATAATAAAATATATAATCATAACCTTCTCATCAGAGACCTCTATGATGCTTCCATAAAATATTTGCATGTATTCTAATTATTTGTAAAATTGAAGAAATCAATACAAAACAAATAAAAATTGTTTTCCAAAGACTAATAAGTATTGTTCTAATAGCTATTAACATTTTCAGGAAACTGGAAGATGACATGTCTCATCTTTCCAGGCTGCGCATCTTAATATATACATAATATGTGAAATGCTTCATTGAATAAGAAGTATCTGTTAATCTAGGAGTAAGAACATTTTAAGTAATTCTTATAAAGTATGTTATATTTTGCTGTAGACATGTAATTAACTAACTTCCATATGATATATTTCTTAAGCTAGTCAGTTCCACAAAATCAATAGTCTCTAATAGTTTTCTTTATACTATAACTATCAAATGCATTGCATACCATTGTTAGTCACTCTTCAATTTAAAGAAGAAAATAATTGAGTATAAAATGCTTATGAAGACCCCATAGCTATCAAGTCCATGGGAAAAGTAGCAGCTTTAATGCAAACCAGTGTTAGTGCTGTTGGCATTCTCAGACTGACCTGAATTCCTGTGTTTGCTTCTCGTCTGTCCTACAGTCCACGAAGGCTCAGGAGAGACCAGTCAAAAGGAGACATCCACTTGTGATATTTGCCAATTTGGTGCAGAATGTGATGAAGATGCTGAGGATGTCTGGTAATAATGCTATTTTCATTCTTTTAAATAAATTAATGATCATGACTTCTTTTTACTTCATCAATTATTCTCTACAGAAAGACATAGTTCTCACATTTTTTCTTTTCCATACTGCAAAAGGAAAAAATATATAGAGGGATATAAGGTCAAATAGGAATTTCTAGAGCCACATATCATGTAGGCTAGCCAGTAACCCCCTTGGGTATCAAGTGATAGAGGTATACTAGGATATTAACAAGACCCCCAATATATAAATGTTAAGAGATAGGAAGAGCAACTGCAATATTGGAAAATTTTAAGGAAACCCCGTATGTGTCAAAGAATTGTGCATCACAGGGTCTTGGATGGCTAATTGTTGAAAAGTATATCAACGGGTATATCATCTGAGGCCCCTTTGGTGAACTTGAATCTCCCGCTTTACAGTTGACAGACAGACATGTTAACCATTTGTATCACCTGGGAAAACTGAGTGATCATAGCCATATCATAGGAAGGCCCACTACAAGCAAATTCACCCTTAGGAATCTTGATTGTAATGATTGCTGGTGATTGTGCCCATGGTTCAACATCATTTTTTCAACCCTGCCAATTACCTTGTGTGTAATTATTGAACTTAAAAGGAAATATTTGCCTCAACCCCTCAATTTCTTTTCTTTCCTTTTTTCAAGAATGTGTGTCCCTCTGGGTTCTTTCCTTAGTAGCAGTCATCTCGGTTGCACCTCCTTCCCAGAAGCAGACTCTGGGGTGTGTTTCTCCTGCAGAAACATGAAGAGATCGCAATTGCAGCTTGCTGGGGATGACTCTTTTCTTTTTGATTCATCATTTCTTCTCTACAATAAGTCATCGTGAGCTTTTTTCCATCCATTTCTGAAGAGGAATAAATTCAGGAATATGAGATCCTGTATATACATTGTTTTGGTCTCGGCCGTCTTCACATTATGGGGTGTCTACTGTTACTTCACTTTACAGTGAGGAAACTGATTTTCCGGGTGTTTGTGTAGCAGGGAAGAGAAGAAGCTATAAGGTGACCATAGTAAGAGAGTTTTAGCAAAGCAATTCAACTAAGTTGCAATTAAAAGAAAATTTCTTTTTCTTGTCATGCTTGGAATAATGAGATGGCCAGATTGCAGGCAGCTTAGATCCAGTGACTCTGAAGACCGGCAGGGTAGAGCTAGTGACAGGGAGACGCCTGCAGCAGGCACTGGGAAATTATCCAGCCTCGTGAATGGCAGCACTCTTGGCAGTCTGGGGATGGGGGCGGGGAGTCTGAAATGTGAAGATAGCAGAAGTCTAAAGAGCTGTGGTCAAGGTTGATAGTTTTTGATAGATTCATCAGTAGGCTTTAAAGCCAGGCATGGAAATTGGGGTTCAGAGGAGTTCATTTCCAAAGGGAAATAGGACATATGAATAATACAAGGCAAACCCTCACACATGAATTGGGTATCAACTAGAAAAACCAATTAGGGGCAGAAAAGGCAAAGAATAAAAGGACACCCCTTACCAAAACTAGTGTATAAAGGCAAGCCAGGCTACAGGGGGCTGGGTTATGGAAAGAAATGACAAGACCAGAATGAAGCCAGCAACAGGGCTGACAGGGGCTGAATCGTTCGCTTTGGGCTAAGATTTCTTGCACACCCCCCAGCCCAGAGACAAGATTATTTCCAAATTGTGGACTAAGGCTGAACCTCCAGATGGGGGCTAAGTGGCCATAGCTGTGAAGATTAGAGGACTGCAGGGGCAGGGAGCCAAGAAGATCATTAGAGTTCCCAGGCAAGAATGAAAAGTTGTTAGCTATTAAATAAAATGTACTTAAAATGTCCAGTGTAAGCAATAAGGAATGGTGCTGGAATGGTAAGTGTATTGATTTTTATTTACATAAATACCTTTGTATGTTAACATATTGGAGTTAGTTATGACCACGGAGGGCAGATTGGAAACAGCTGCAGGACACAAAAATAAACACTAAGTGAAATTAAATAGGCGTGGAATCAAATAGGCCATAAAGTCAGATGGGAAGCGAGACGGGAGAGATCTGACTCTAGCCTTCAGTCAACAGAGCAGTCTCTGAAATAGGGCAGCTTTGACGCACTATGGATTGCGGCTGGAACTCTGGCCAGGTCTTCTCAAAAATGTAAAATGCTGCATGAAGCATAAACATAAAGTCCATGTGACATAAAGAGCATAACTGTGTTCTGTTTGTTTTTCTTTACGTTTTTCCCTTTGATGAAATCACGTTTATGCAGGAAAAAAATATATTCTTAGTGCTGCAATATGAAGTAATAATAAGATGTGCATAAACACTACCAAAAAATGTCATTACTGTATCCACAATATTGAAAAAAAGGCGAAAACTTAATTGCTGATTTTCCCTAACAACTATTTTACATTTTACCCCAAGGGCTAAGTATAGCTAACTCAAAGGTGCTAAGATATTTCTAAAATGAAATCTAAAATTGAAAAGTCTGTACACAGTTCAACTGATCCTGCTTTCATACTTAGATGAGATTTTTGGTTAAGAAGCAGGTCACATAGAAAAGAAATAATAAATAAAAAAGGAGAGGGAGAAGGCAAGTGAGATAGAGGAAAAAGTAATAATTAGAGGATGGCATTAATAAATCATGATACTCATCACATATATTGTAATGCTTTTATTTTAAGAAAACAGATGGCTTCTAAGCTAATAGAACAACCTCCCTTCTTTTCTATTACTTCATTTCAAGGTGTTGTTTTCCTTTGCTTTTTCCTTCCCTAGGGAGAACATATCGATTGTGGAAATCAAAAGAAGGTTCCAGTTTCTCAGTTAAAAAAAAACAACACATTGCTACGAAACATTTTTTGGTTACAGATATGAGCTTAAGGGTTACGGAGCCCTGGTCGTGTCGTGGTTACTCACTGAGCTGCTGGCCCTGAGGTCATCCATTCGCTGAGGCAGTTCTGTCCTGCCTTCTCGGTTCCGTGAGTCAGAATTGACTCGCTGCCACAGAGTTTGGCTTGAGGAAAGGATGAAGTATTCAGCAAAGAAAGCTTAGTCAACGTGATCAGTGGCCCACATCACAGGGACATCCACTCCCATACCGAGGGCATCCTAAATCATAGAAACACCTGTGCGAGGGGATGTGCATGCCTGTTTATGGGGAAGGGCTTCAAAGAAGGAGAAAAGAGCTTAAAAGATTGTTTCTATTTACTTCTAGACTTTAAAAAAGTCAAAACAAATGCACTCATATTTCAAAGACACTCTAATACCTTTCCAAATATAATTTATAATAAAGTCATAAAGCCTCATCTGTAAAACTGGGAACACCAATTTAAAATTTGAACAAATAGCTCAAATACTTGGTGATTTTTAGAAACAGCTCTATATTCCCTTAATTATCTTACCTGGTAAATTATCTCAGTAAATGCAAAGTAGGTCAGTAGTAACTCCTTGCACTGGGAACTATTCCTAGGAGATAATTAGCCTAGAACTTTCTGTTGATCCTGTCAATCAGAAGTAGTTCAGAGCCCAGGGGTTGATTCTTGATTTCATATAAGAAAAAAGCAAGTTGATAGCTGGGTTTGATGCTAGCAAAAAGCTGGTACATGAGTGGCTGCATGACTAACATTTCTCAGGTGCCAGAAAGGATCAAGGAACAACAGAGCACAGGTGGAAGAGCAGATGTCTAAGGGGGCACAAACGACATACTGGGGCAGCTAGTGTGTGTATTTGCTTCATGCTTAGGCTTTCTAGCTCCTATTCCTATAATATCTTTATGTGGTATTCTATATGTACTGCTCAGACTCCATTACCAAGTTCATATTGGCTTAATTTAAATGCTACTAGTTTCTTAGTGGCCATTCGTTTTGTTTTTGAGAACATGAATAATGTCTTCCAATTTTAGCGTATAGCATCCTTGTGTTGTCTGCAGTGGTAAGAAAGGAGAAAAAGCAAAGTAGCTGTAATAAAATGGGTCGGAAGAGGCAGTGAATGTGCATCTGTTTTTTCCTTCCCTTCATTGACGTTCCCAGACGAAGACAGGGTGTGGGCTTTGGCCTTCCTTCTGTGGGTCTCTTACTAGGACGGTTTAGTTTGAAGTCTTTAACGGCTTGTTCGTTTGATCTGAGAAGGCTTCTTGTCACTAGGAAGACTGTGTGGCTGGCATCATCCCATCTTTGATGCTTTTTGGACTGTGGAGACTCATGAATATTTGAAGCAGGGCAGTGGCCAGGGGTGATCCTTGGCACTAGATTTCACCATACATATAAGTAAATTAGACATTAGATCCTGCTGACTTTAGTATGTTTAGGTTTTGAATTTAATAGGGAAAATTAAGACACCTCTGAGGAAAATAAGAAGGTGATTTCTTTTAAAACTGCTATTGGTCAACAACTGAGCAAAATCACTGTCTTGCTAGTAGACGGCTTCCATTTGTTTCCTACTAAGTGAAAGGAAGGCTGGTTAGAAGAGGGTGCCACTTCATCACAAATGTTCGTTCAGTCGTCTCCAGGGCGTTTCCTTCTTTTGATTCCCTTTAGTTTATGGCCTCAGAACTATGACTGTGATGACCCGAATAGACCTGCCTTCTTACATAAATTGGGAAAAACAAGACAGAACTTAGGTCTGGTCTTTAGAAATGGAGGGTTTTTGTTTGTTTGTTTGTCTGTTTGTTTGTTTTGAGTTTAGTTATGGCTTTATGAGGAGACTTTTCTAAAGTCTAAGTTTCCTGGAAGTTGGTGTACTCAAACAAAAAGTCCAGAGTCATTGCCATTGAGTAAAAGGCTCTGACTCATCGTGAGTCTATAGAACAAAATAGGACTTCCCTTTGGGTTTTTGTGACTTAAAACGATCACTGTTGCAGATTAGCCATATCTTGCTCCCACAGAGAGACTGGTGGCTTCAACCCACTGACCTTGTGGTTAGCAGCTGAATGCGTGGCCCACTACACCATGAAGGATCCTGTGGATTGCTTCCCGCAAATTGTCTCTTATCCTTCACCATGAAGACAGTGGCTGTTATCTCTGAA